TCTTTTCTTTAACTTTTCCGTTCTCTTTGTGCTCCATAATGTCTCTGAATGGCTTTCCTCTATCCCACCTTATGCATCCCATCCCAGCCTTTTAGTTCTTCTCACCTTTTCTTCAATGTTTGATGTCTCGCATCTTGTTCTGATCTCTCCACTCCACACTGTATCTGACCAACTTTCCTTCGTCTCTTTTCATACATGCCCATATAGTACCATCTTACCTTGCTTCCTTTACCTTCACCGTAATACCTACTACCCCACATCTTCTTTTGATCTCTTCATTCCATACTATGTCTGACCGGCTTTCTTTCGTCTTCATTTTTGTTACATGTCCATGGTAGTATGCCACCATCTTATCTTGGTTTCTTCTTTGCAACACTCACTTCCCACATTTTCTTCTGATCTGTTCGTTCCTCATCTTGACCTTTGCTGAAACATGTCATTTGTATGCTTTTTTCCCACGAGATTCGTTGGGTCCAAAGAGTCTGAATCCTTCCATTACCCAGCATCGAGAGCCCCAGCACTGGTTTGTAAATTTTAAAATTCAGAAACTGTGAAGACCAGATTTAGAAACTGTGAAAACTACAAATTCGTCTTGGACGAGGAATGAAATTTTCGTATACAAACCACAGCCAAAATTTATCTCACTTGCCAAACACTGCGATTGTTCTTGGCCTTTGACATGCATGTTTCCTTTCATATAGAACAATCTTCGATAATGACTTCATCAGCACAGTATTGCGGCTACTGGTATTTCCAGTGCAGGCATTATGTTCAATGTATTTATCGATCCTATGTTTGTGATGGTAGACAGCATTGTTATGATGGCAGTGACGAAGATTACTGTACTTCGACAGGTTAGTTTTTTAACTCTTTTGGGATTTTTGTTCTAGTTTATTGTTGTGATTTGTTTCACTGACGCGCGCCATCTATACAAAATCAGGGCGTAGAGAAACTAACTAAATTTGCAGTTACTTGATGAAATATTTCAAATCCGGAATTGAGAACTGGATGGAATTTCAAGTTCGAGTAGTCCGTTCAAATCATTGCAGAAAGTGGATTAATTTTAATCCAAACGCAAGAAACCTAACTAAATCTGCTGCATAGACTAGTAACCCCATACCCAGGGTCTTATCTCCACTAACGTGCGGTGGTAAGCGAGGGCCCTAGTTTTCGAGGCTGCCTTCGCAGACGTTATGGGATAATGGGTTGTTCTATCGGTTTTAGCTGTTCTCTCTAAGGTCTGGTAATACCATTCCTTATTACTACAATCTTAATACAGGAGGGAAATAGAGTACCCGTAGAGAACGTGCATTGATTAGTAGTGTCAAAACTGCAAGTGACTTTTCTTCCATGCGACTGAGCTAAAATTAATTGTTTCGGTTATCACGAAAGTAGGACATCCGGGCGGTCCATTGTTGGTTTTGATCGAGTGCTTTCTTGTCATTTTTGTAATACTTCTGACAACCTTCATCAGAGTGGGTTGAGATTATTCCTTAACTGACTCTTCCACCGTAGTTGTGCTCCGTGATAAGACACGAGTCGTAAGGTGGCTGCCAGAGACGCCCTTAGAAAGCCTTCGACTGGATCAGGTTGAGCTGTGTCCTTTGCAATTCAGCTTAGCTCTCAACTGCAAGTAAGCATGATTTGCACACTTCGACGAAGGTGAGGACAAACAGTTAAATTTTCAAACATGTTCAAAAATGACTTTTGCGGATGTATGACGGACAATGAAGTTGCATTTAATACCTAATCTCCTTATGAAATGTTGGTCACACGGTGTATATACATGCAAAACTAAACAACTCTTTTGTAGAGTTCACAATGGGAACTAAATTTGAAATATAAAAAATACTTCTCGACGTTTCGAGTAAAGATATTTTACTTGTTTCCTGCAATAAAATAAAGTAAAATATCTTTACTCGAAACGTCGAGAAGTATTTTTTATACTTCAAATTTAGTTCCCATTGTGAACTCTTCTGATCATTATTCCGCTTTATCATTTTGCCTCAACCAAATACTGCAAGTATTCTCCTCTAGAACTGGCACTGTTGAAACAAGGAGTGGTTTTTACTGGACCTCTATGGAGTTTAGAACTGATAGAGCTATCCAGTATAAATAAAGTTAGTTTAATTTAGGTTTCCTCCTGCGGTAACACTTAATCAATGAGAGATGGCTCTTACTTCACCTCTATGGAGAACAGTTTAGAACTGACAAGGTTATCCAGTATAAATAAAGTTAGTTTAGCTTAGGTTTCCTCCTTTACTAACACTGGATCAATAAGAGATTACTCTTACTGGACTTCTAGGGAGAACAGTTTAGAACTGGTAGAGCTATCCAGTATAAATAAAGTTAGTTTAGTTTAGGTTTCCTCCTGTACTAACACTGGATCAATAAGAGACGATTCTTACCGGACCTTTACAAAGAACAATTTACAACTGATAGAGCTACACAGTATGAATAAAGTTAGTTTAGTTTAGTTTAAGTTTCTTCCTGTAGTAAGACTGGATCAATAAGAGATGATCCTTACCATACCTTTAGAAAGAATAGTTTAAAACCGACATTCAGAGGTATCCAAGCTAGATATGTATGACACTTTCATTTACTTATATTTTTAAAGGATATTCCACCATAAGCCCTTCTACAACGGTAAATGTACAAGGTAAATTTAACATGTTAAATCGAAATAACAAGTTTTTGATGAGGCTAAAAATGGAAAGCATTAATTTATTTTATGATGCCTATCCTACGATATGTCATGTTTGCATTGAAGAGCATTGAAAAGCTATTTAATAAAAACAACGAATAATATATGTTGCATAAAGTTTTGTTAACTTGCATATGAAACAAACTTTCAATTATAATATATATACGAATAAATAATTTGATCATAGTTTCTTCTTTTTTGGAAAGCAACGCAAACTGTTTGTCCATATTGGCAATTCAGATGTAACAATGGTTATGAATGTGTGGATCGATATTATCTTTGTAATGGACGGTATCAATGCTCTGATGGTAGTGATGAATGGTATTCCAACTGTGGTATGTATTCCTTTTACTGTCAAGTTATTTTACTATCTTAATAAGTTAAATTGTTGATTTATTTTTATAGCAAGTCGAAACAGTGCATCAATTCAACCTTCATCCACTGGTGAGCATAATTTAAAGATCTTTTAATTAATTACTTGTGTGCAAGGGAGGAGAGTAGCGAAGTAGTTGCAGTTCGCTACTGTAGCGAACTACAATTTTCAAGTAGCCAGTAGTATTTGACTACTTTTTTAAAACAGTAGCTGTAGTTATAAGCGAACTACATTTTGCCTAAAAGTAGCCAAGTAGTTGATTACTTTTCAAACAGCGTATCGCTATTCGCTACTTTTTAAAATTGTAGCACCTTGATGGAATAGCATGATATTGAGACACGGTTTGCTTAAAGTCAATACTCAATAGTCAATTTGCACTCTTGAACACTGTAGTGCTTAAAAAACATGTTGGTTTGTGTTTACTGTTGCTACTCGTAAGTCGATTTATTATAGGTTACATTTCAGCAGTTAGTAGATGCTCCAAAAACAGTAAAACTAAAAAAGATAGCGTAGCGAAATAGTTCGCTAGATTTTTTAAGCAGTAGCTTCTTTGTTTAAAAGTAGCAGTAGTTGTAGCTGACTACATATTTTTGAAGTAGCTGTAGTTATAGCGAACTACAAAAATTTTGTATTCAACCCACCCTTGCTTGTGTGCTATTTGATGAACTTCGTTGAATATTGATAATCGTCGTCTTTGCGTCGTTGCTATCTTGTTTCCTGGTAACCGTCATCTAACTACTTTGCAGAAAGACACTATGACTCTTCAGGGCCGTAGGAAGCTCTTTTCGATTGGGGAAGGCTGAAAGCGAGGGCCGAAGGCCCGAGCAAATTCTTAAATTTCCTTGACTTTGGGTAAGATTTGACGAAATTCTGATGGTCAGAAAACAGCGTTTTACTGTAGTATGTCGAAATTTACAATTTAGTAGTATTGAATGGGCGAAGGCGTATTTAACTAACTATATATTGGATAAGTTGCAGGAAAGTATGGGTAATATCTTTATTCTTTGCAGTTTGTCATGGATTAAATGATAAAGGTCTGCATGATTTTGAAAAAAATAATGATTATTAGCAAATTATTGCAGAAACTGCAGCCCCCAGCCCCCCGGTTGCTACGGCCCTGCTCTTTCATGCATTCTAGTTCTATGCTTTTCGCTTTTCTGTCCCTTGTAAAAATGTTTACTGTCAGTTTTTTTGTGATAATTAGACCTTCTTTTCCACAACTCATCTATCTCTTCTTTCACTTTTCTGTTCTCTTTGTGCTCCATAATGTCTCTGGAAGGCTCTCCTCTGCCCCCACTTTATTACGAGTCCATAGCATCCCAGCTTTATTCTTAACTTTTCTTCAATGTTTGGTAACTTACATCTTCTTCAGGTCTCTCCACACTGTATCTGACAGCCTTAATTTCCTCCGTCTTTTTTGCTTATATAGTACCATCTTACCTTGCTTGCTTCACAATTACCGCAACATCTACCACTGCATATGTTCTTCTGATCTGTTCATTCCACATTATATCCGACCGGCTTTCTTTCATCTTTGTTTTTGTTACATGTCCATGGTCCATCTCAACTTGTTTTCCTCTCCGCATTATTTACTTCCCACATTTTCGTCTGATCTGTTCGTTCTTCATCTTGACCGCGAAACATGCCATTTGTATCTCTTTTCTTTTCACAAGAATTGTTAGGTTTATACATGAGTCTGAATCTTTGCATTACCCAGCATTTGAGCCCCGGCACTGTTTTGTAAGTTTTAAAATTCAGAAACTGTGAAGACTAGATCTAGAAACAGTGAAAACTACCAATTCGTCCTGGACGAAGAATGAAATTTTCTCATATAAACTCCTGCCAGAATTCGTCTTACTTGCCAGGATATCTTGTTTACAAAAAACCTCTTGGCTAGTTTGACATGTATGTTTCCTTTTATAGAACAATCTTCGATAATGACTTCATCAGCACAGTATTGCGGCTACTGGTATTTCCAGTGCAGACATTATGTTCAATGTATTTATCGATCTTATGTTTGTGATGGTAGACGGAATTGTTATGACGGTAGTGACGAAGATGACTGTTCTTCGAGAGGTTGGTTTTTAACTCTTTGGGAATTTTTGTTCTAGTTTATTGTTGTGATTTCTTCTCCCTGAATATTTCCTCATCAATTCTAAATTAACAACTTTCTCTACATGGCATTACTGTACCTGTATGCTTAATTTAATGGGGTTGGAGTCATGGATGACGTGATGTCTCGGTAATCACGCACGCATTGAATTCTTAAATATTCAATCATAGCAATTGGCCTTTTAATAGTTGGGACCCTATTGATTGAAACAGTGGCATAAACTATATGAACACACAGCGTATTATTTTATGATTTTTCAGAAACTTCTTCTATAAGACCTTCTTCTACTGTAAATATACAAGGTGAATAAAATATTTTGATGTATTTGTTATATGCTTGACTTTATATAATACCTTGTTGAATTCTGATCGTTTAATTGGCTGTTTATGGTCACGTGATATTGAATAGAAAATTCCATTTCCCAAGAGTGCAATGGAATATGTTCCATTGCACTCTTTCTTTGCGAGTGCAATTGTACTTAGTATACGTTTTATTCCATTGCACTCTTTGTGTTTTCGATAAATTGCATCCGTCAAAATGCTTCTCGTATGAATCTATTAGTCTATTTTGGCATTATATACAAATAATGAATGGTAGGAATATTAAGAATTCGTGATAATGGTTTGTGAGAATTAATAATAATGGTAAGAATTCGTGCAATGCTAATGGTAAAAATATTTTCATTCGGTGGAACATTCCATCTTTCACCGAATGAAAATATTCTTACCATTGCACTCATCAACATTCATTATTTGTATTATGTAACAGTGTGAACGAGTATTTAGAATGAATAATAAAGGATTTATTGTGTAATTAGACTAACAATAGATTGATAAATTATAGCCTCTAATAGACAGACTGTTTATAGGGCTATAGATGCTAAACATTGGTTAATAGGTAGGAATGACCGGATTGAAATAGTGAGGAAAACCTATTGCTTTTAGATTTATCAAAATCTTGAGTAATCACGCATTAAATGTTAATTCCATTTAGCAACGCAAACTGTTTGTTTATACTGGCAATTCAGATGTAACAATGGTTACGAATGTGTGAGTCGACATTATGTTTGTGATGGATGGAATTATTGCTCTGATGGTAGTGATGAATGGAATTGTGGTATATGTATTTATTTTACTATCAAGTCATTCTCCTATCTCAACTGACAGAAAAGATTTTTGTAAAAGGTTAAATTGTTGATTTATTTTTATAGAAAGTCATTCCAGTGCATCAATTCAACCTTCGTCAACTGGTGAGCATAATTTAAAGATCTTTCGATTAATTTCATGTGTGCTATTTGATGAACTCTGTTGAATATTGATAGTCGTCGTCGTCTTTGCGTCGTTGCTCTCCTGTTAACTGATAGCCTTCATCCTGCTATTTTACAGAAAGATATTATGATTCTTTCATGCATTCTAGTTTAATGCTTTTCTGTCTCTTGTAATTAATAATGTTTACTGTCAGTTCTTTTATTCCACAACTCATATAGCTCTTCTCTCACTTTTCCGTTCTCTTTGTGCTCCATAATGTCTCTGAAAGGCTCTCCTCTATCACACCTTATCACGAGTCCATAACATCCCAGCTTTATTCTTAGCTTTTTTTCAATGTTTATGGTACCTCGCATCTTTTTCTGATCTCTCCACTCCACACTATATTTGACAGACTTTCTTTCATCTCTTCTTCTCATATAGTATCATCCAACCTTGCTTGCTTCACATTCACCGTAATACCTATACCACCCCACATGTTCTTCTGATTTCTTATTATATATGAGCGGCTTTCTTTAGTTACTTCCCACATTTTCTTCTGATCTGTTCGTTTTTCATCTTGACCTTAGTCGAAACTTGCCATTTGTATCCCTTTTCTTTTCACAAGAATTGTTAGGTTTACTGAGTCTAAATCCTTGCATTACCCAGCATTTGAGCCCCAGCATTGTTTTTGTAAATTTTAAAATTCAGAAACTGTGAAGACTAGATTTAGAAACAGTGAAGACTACCAATTCGTCTTGGACGAAGAATGAAATTTTCTCTTATAAACTCCTGCCAGAATTCGTCTTATTTGCCAGGATATCTTGTTTACAAAAAAAGCTCTCGGCTTTTGACATGCATGTTTCTTTTTATATAGAACAATCTTCGATAATGACTTCATCAGCACAGTATTGCGGCTACTGGTATTTCCAGTGCAGACATTATGTTCAATGTATTTATCGATCCTATGTTTGTGATGGTAGACGGAATTGTTATGACGGTAGTGACGAAGATGACTGTTCTTCAAGAGGTTGGTTTTTAACTCTTATCTTTAACTTTTATCTGTTTGTGATTTCTGATGTATCGGTAATCACGAATGCATTGAATTCATAAATATTGATCAAACAGGGCCATAGTAATTGGCCTTTTAATGGTTGGGACCCTATTGATTGAAACAGTGGCATAAACTATTTGAACACACAACGTATTATTTTATGATTTTTCAGAAACTTCTTCTATAAGACTTTCTTCTACTGTAAATGTACAAGGTGAATAAAATATTTTGATGTATTTGTTATATGCTTGACTTTATATAATACCTTGTTGAATTCTGATCATTTAATTAGCTGTTTATGGTCACGTGATATTGAATAGAAAATTCGATTTCCCAAGAGTGCAATGGAATACGTTCCATTGTACTCTTTCTTTGCGAGAGGAATTGTACAATACGTTTTATTCCATTGCACTCTTTGTGTTTTCGATAAATTGCATCCGTCAAAATGCTTCTCGTATGAATTTATTGGTCTATTTTGGTATTATATACAAATAATGAATGGTAGGAATATTAAGAATTCGTGATAATGGTTCGTGAGAACTAATAATAATGTGAAGAATTCGTGCAATGCTAATGGTAAGAATATTTTAATTTGGTGGAACATTCCATCTTTCACCGAATGAAAATATTCTTACCATTGCACTCATAAACATTCATTATTTGTATAATGTAACAATGTGAACGAGTATTTAGAATAAATAGTAAAAGATTTATTATGTAATTAGACTAACAATAGATTGATGAATTATAGACGCTAAACATTGGTTAAGATAGGTAGAGGAATGACCAGATTGAAATAGTGAGGAAAACCTAATGCTTTTAGATTTACCAAAATCTTCAATGACCGCGCATTAAATGTTAATTTTATTTAGCAACGCAAACTGTTTGTTCATACTGGCAATTCAGATGTAACAATGGTTACGAATGCGTGAATCGATACTATGTTTGTGATGGATGGAATTATTGCTCTGATGGTAGTGATGAATGGAATTGTGGTATGTATTCATACTAACACGCCGACAAAATCTCCCTGAATAGTCCCTCACAAATTCTAAATTAAAAACTTTTTCCTCGTGGCATTTAATGCCTTTATACATACATACATACAAAAATTTATTTAAGCACGCTGGCCTCAGTGGGCAATCAGGAATGGAGTAACCACGCTTTGAATTTATAAATATTCGATCAAACAGGACCATAACCGAATTCCATGTTGATTCAAATGGTAGCATAAACTATATGAACATAGAACGTATTTTTTATGATTTTTCAGAATATTCTTCTATAAGTCCTTCTTCTTCTGTAAATGTACAAGGTAAATAAAATATTTTTGTGCGTTTGGTGTATGCTTATATATAACTATGCAGAGCGTGAACGAACATTTAGAATGAATAGAAGAGGATTTACTGTGTATTAGACTAACAACAGACTTTTAAATTATAGCTTCTAGTGGACAAACACGAAATAATAATTTAAAGGTTTTTTTATTTAAGAAAGGAGTGAACTTTTTTCTCAATATACTGTAGTTGTATCATCATCACAGAGTGCTTGTCAGTATTATGAATTCAGATGTAACAATGGATACCAATGTGTGCATCAGTATTATGTTTGTGATGGACGGAATCATTGCTATGATGGTAGTGATGAATGGAACTGTGGTATGTATTCATACTAACTGATCTGAAAAAATCCCCCCTGAATATTCTCTCACAAATTCTAAACTAACAACTTTCTCCACATGGCATTTAGTTCCTTTATGGGTCATGAGGATTGGAGTCATCCACGTCTCTGTGACCACGCATTGAATTCATAAATATTCAATTGAACAGGGCCATAAGCAATTGGCCTTTTAATAGTTGGGGCCCCTGTTGATTCAAATGGTAGCATAAACTATGAACATATAACGTATTGTTTTATGAATTTTTAGGATATTCTTCTATTAGTCCTTCTTCTACTGTAAATGTACAAGGTGAATAAAATATTTTGATGTGTTTGTTGTATGCTTAAGTACAGTGCTTACATGCAAGAGTGTCGAACGAATATTTAGAATGAATAGTATAGAGGATTTACTATGTATTAGACTAACGACAGACTATTAAATTATAGCTTCTAATGGACAAATGCGAAATAATAATTTTAAGGTTTTCTATTTAAGAGAGGAGTAAATTGTTTTCTTAATATATAGTTGCATCATCATCACAGAGTGCTTGTCAGTATTATGAATTCAGATGTAACAATGGGTACCAATGTGTGCATCAGTATTATGTTTGTGATGGACGGAATCATTGCTCTGATGGTAGTGATGAATGGAACTGTGGTATGTATTCATACTAACTGATCTGAAAAAAAAAACCCTGAATATTCTCTCACAAATTCTAAACTAACAACTTTCTCCACATGGCATTTAATTCCTGTATGGGTCATGAGGATTGGAGTCATCCACGTCTCTGTGACCACACATTGAATTCATAAATATTCAATTGAACAGGGCCATAGCAATTGGCCTTTTAATAGTTGGGGCCCCTGTTGATTCAAATGGTAGCATAAACTATGAACATATAACGTATTGTTTTATGAATTTTTAGGATATTCTTCTATTAGTCCTTCTTCTACTGTAAATGTACAAGGTGAATAAAATATTTTGATGTGTTTGTTGTATGCTTAAGTACAGTGCTTATATGCAAGAATGTCGAACGAATATTTAGAATGAATAGTATAGAGGATTTACTATGTATTAGACTAACGACAGATTATTAAATTATAGCTTCTAATGGACAAATGCGAAATAATAATTTAAAGGTTTTCTATTTAAGAGAGGAGTAAATTTTTTTCTTAATATATAGTTGCATCATCATCACAGAGTGCTTGTCAGTATTATGAATTCAGATGTAACAATGGGTACCAATGTGTGTATCAGTGGTATGTATGTGATGGACGGAATCATTGCTCTGATGGTAGTGATGAATGGAACTGTGGTATGTATTTATACTAACATCTCAAAAAAAATCCCCCTGAATATTTTCTCACAAATTCTAAATTAACAACTTTCTCCTCATGGCATTTAATGCTTTTATGGTAATGAGGAATGGAGTAACCACGCTTTAAATTCATAAATATTCGATCAAACAGGGCCATAACCGAATTCCCTGTTGATTCAAATGGTAGCATAAACTATATGAACATATATAACGTATTATTTTATGAATTTTTAGAATATTCTTCTATAAGACCTTCTTCTACTGTAAATGTACAAGGTGAATAAAATATTTTGATGTGTTTATGTTGTATGCTATATATATAACTATGCAGAGCGTGAACGAATATTTAGAATGAATAAATAGAAGAGGATTTACTACGTATTAGACTAACAACAGACTTTTAAATTATAGCTTCTAATGGACAAACACGAAATAATAATTTAAAGGTTTTTTATTTAAGAAAGGAATAAACTTTTTTCTCAATATACTGTAGTTGTATCATCATCACAGAGTCCTTGTCAGTATTATGAATTCAGATGTAACAATGGATACCAATGTGTGCATCAGTATTATGTTTGTGATGGACGGAATCATTGCTATGATGGTAGTGATGAATGGAACTGTGGTATGTATTCATACTAACTGATCTGGAAAAAATACCCCCTGAATATTCTCTCACAAATTCTAAACTAACAACTTTTTGCACATGGCATTTAATTCCTGTATGGGTCATGAGGATTGGAGTCATTCACGTCTCTGTGACCACACATTGAATTAATAAATATTCAATTGAACAGGGCCATAGCAATTGGCCTTTTAATAGTTGGGGCCCCTGTTGATTCAAATGGTAGCATAAACTATAACTAACTATGAACATATATAACGTAATGTTTTATGAATTTTTAGGATATTCTTCTATTAGCCCTTCTTCTACTGTAAATGTACAAGGTGAATAAAATATTTTGATGTGTTTGTTGTATGCTTAAGTACAGTGCTTATTTGCAAGAGTGTCGAACGAATATTTAGAATGAATAGTATAGAGGATTTACTATGTATTAGACTAACGACAGACTATTAAAGTATAGCTTCTAATGGACAAATGCGAAATAATAATTTTAAGGTTTTCTATTTAAGAGAGGAGTAAATTTTTTTCTTAATATATAGTTGCATCATCATCACAGAGTGCTTGTCAGTATTATGAATTCAGATGTAACAATGGGTACCAATGTGTGTATCAGTGGTATGTATGTGATGGAAGGAATCATTGCTCTGATGGTAGTGATGAATGGAACTGTGGTATGTATTTATACTAACATCTCAAAAAATATCCCCCTGAATATTTCCTGACAAATTCTAAATTAACAACTTTCTCCTCATGGCATTTAATGCCTTTATGGGTATGAGGAATGGAGTAACCACGCTTTGAATTCATAAATATTCGATCAAACAGGGCCATAACCGAATTCCATGTTGATTCAAATGGTAGCATAAACTATATGAACATATATCACGTATTATTTTATGAATTTTTAGAATATTCTTCTATAAGACCTTCTTCTACTGTAAATGTACAAGGTGAATAAAATATTTTGATGTGTTTATGTTGTATGCTATATATATAACTATGCAGAGCGTGAACGAATATTTAGAATGAATAGAAGAGGATTTACTGTGTATTAGACTAACAACAGACTTTTAAATTATAGCTTCTAATGGACAAACACGAAATAATAATTTAAAGGTTTTTTATTTAAGAAAGGAGTAAACTTTTTTCTCAATATACTGTAGTTGTATCATCATCACAGAGTGCTTGTCAGTATTATGAATTCAGATGTAACAATGGATACCAATGTGTGCATCAGTATTATGTTTGTGATGGACGGAATCATTGTTATGATGGTAGTGATGAATGGAACTGTGGTATGTATTCATACCAACTGATCTGAAAAAAATCCCCCCTGAATATTCTCTCACAAATTCTAAACTAACAACATTATCCACGTGGCATTTAATTCCTGTATGGGTCATGAGGATTGGAGCCATCCACGTCTCTGTGACCACGCATTGAATTAATAAATATTCGATTAAACAGGGTCATAGCAATTGGCTTTTTAATAGTTGGGGCCCCTGTTGATTCAAATGGTAGCATAAACTATGAACATATAACGTATTGTTTTATGAATTTTTAGGATATTCTTCTATTAGTCCTTCTTCTACTGTAAATGTACGAGGTGAATAAAATATTTTGATGTGTTTGTTGTATGCTTAAGTACAGTGCTTATATACAAGAGTGTCGAACGAATATTTAGAATGAATAGTATATAGGATTTACTATGTATTAGACTAACAACAGACTATTAAATTATAGCTTCTAATGGACAAATGCGAAATAATAATTTTAAGGTTTTCTATTTAAGAGAGGAGTAAATTTTTTTCTTAATATATAGTTGCATCATCATCACAGAGTGCTTGTCAGTATTATGAATTCAGATGTAACAATGGGTACCAATGTGTGTATCAGTATTATGTATGTGATGGATGGAATCATTGCTCTGATGGTAGTGATGAATGGAACTGTGGTATGTATTCAAACTAATATCTAAATTAAAAGGCAACTTCCTCCATATTTCTCCTAATAATACGACATTGCTTTGAAATTAAGGCTATGATATAATCATTGTTTAAGTCAGAGACGTCGCTACGTCAGAGGCGTCGGGTGTGAGGGCACCCCCCCTAATAATTCAAAAGTTGGTCAAAGTTGTTAAGAATGGAAAATATTTGGTTAAAGTTGGTCAAAGTTGCAGGTCCGACCTGACAACAGCTTGTTAAAGGTTGAGAAAAATTTTGGATAAAGTTTGGCAAAGTAAACATTTGGTTATGTTTGTCTGGAAAAATTTTAAGCTTTGGTGATGTTTTTTAAGACATTCCTCCCCCGTCGACAACATTTTTGGGAGAAAAACTTTTTCGGACTTGGTCAATTTCTATGAGCGGGTCGTCCCCCCCCCCCCCCCCCATGTTCATTCCTTTGCGACGTCCCTAGTTTAAGTACTACGTCTGCAACGAATATCCTTTATTTCCGTAGAACATACGGCACAACCAACACCATCAGCGCCAACAACATCTCGTTATTGTTTACCCTGGGAATTCCGGTGCAGAAATGGCAGATGTATCAGCAAGGGTAAAGTTTGCGACAATTATGACAACTGTGGAGACGGCAGTGATGAACGCCGTTTAATTTGTCGAGGTAACGTCGTCAGATTAGAAATAAAGATAGCTTGTGGATAGGTAGAAACTACGAGGACGATTTTTAACAATGATTTGCAATATAGATGGCAGTTAAACGGAATTGTAATTGTTCTGCTGCCTGTCACGATGCAAATCGTTGTTGAAAATAGTTCCGCGTAACATCATTCAACAGTTGATGGTCTTTCTGCAGTTATTATGCAGAATGAGAAAATAAGTGATGTATTAATAACTTATGAATTACTCGGCGTATGAACAAAATGTTTTCATATTCGGAAAGACCAGGCTTTTAGCTGATGAATGACATTTTTTTTAGTTTAATGAAGTGAAATTCATCAACTTAAGTCCTAAAGTGGGTTTTAGACCCAACTCTCAACGGGGAAAATACGCGATTCTGACTAACATTTTTATCGGATTCGTATTTGCTCATTTGTTATGAAAAACATATCATTCAACAGCTAAAAAACCTAAAAGCCTGATCTTTCCGAATATTAAAAAATCTCTGTTATACACAGAGTAATTCAGATGCAATGCCGCGCTGAAGTTCGATTACCTTTTTTCCGGGGTTTAATTCTCACCGCGTCCAAGCCATTTTTGAAAATATTATCATCTTTTTTTCCAGCTAACTTCACCATATGTCAAAACAAGTTGGATTTTGGTTTTATATTGGACAGCTCTGGTAGTGTTGGACAACATAACTTTGAACGAATGAAACTATTTGTCAAAGATCTCACAGACTTCTACAAGCTAGGCTCTGAAGAGACACGAGTCTCCGTAATGTCATTTTCGGACTCGGCAAACATTCACATTGCGTTCTCGGCATATTTTTCGGATAAAGACCGGTTTGACTCGGCCGTGGATAGAATTGAATATAATGATGGAGGGACTGCCACAGGAATGGCGTTAAATATGGCGCACAACGATATGTTTACGTCACGTAATGGAGCGAGGGGCTCAGGTAAAAACCTTGAACTATGGGTAAGGACCTGTTCGTATGAGCTCCCAGCTTTTCAGCTTTCCATTTTGGTCGTGCCCCCTGTTCATGCGAGAGACGAGCCGCCCATCTTAGTCGCATCATTTTCAGTAAGATCTCAGTCACCTAATCGGGATGGACATTTTGGCCAATTTTAAGGCTAATTTCCACTCCGGAAAATAAACAGCAGATTGGACCGAATCGGAGCTTTTCCGATCCAGTCCGATCCATCAAGCGATTTCCAGTAAAAAGATCGGGTCGGAAAAGGAAAAAATGGAGCTTGGTATATATTTTTGATTGGTTGCCAGATTTGCCCCAAAAAGTTGAAAATATTTCAACTTTTTATTCCGATCAATCGGAACCAATAATTTCTACTGAAGGCGCATGCGCGGATTTTGTTTTGTTCCGATTCGGTCCGGAAAAAATAAATCGATTCGAAATAAATAAATCCTTAAATTTCAGCCTTAATTTTCTTAGAGTTTAAGAAGGTTTTGGTGATCCTGACAGACGGCCGCAGTAACACAGGACAGGTCAGCGGACCAGCTCGACAATTGAAGAACTCTGGTG